CAAAACCGACCTAAGTAAATCCCAGACTCAGGATCCAAAAAAGAGAACCCAAGTCCAGGTGGCCTCCTCATTCACAAGGAATTTCTGAAGTCAGTCCAGGAACTTTAAGATCCAGGCTCTTGCCGTTGTTGAGATTGCCATGAGCCGTTTCAATGAATGCAACACATATTCAACGCCTGCGGAGAGGGGAACCCACTGGACCTGGGAGCTCAGGGGGTAACCTTCTGCTGCTGGGAGTTTTCATCTCTTCCCTGTGTCCGCATGGTCTACTGTTGGTGAGCAGTATTGAGGAGCACTATCTGCGCTAGAGCAAAAAAAGATTGACTGACTGAACTGTTCTTCACGGAGCCCTCGTGGTTAACGCGCACCAGCAAAAGTGGGTAGTGAAAGCCAACGTGTGGAGGGTGGCATTTTTGCCCAAAGCTAATCTGAAGGAACAAATGACAGTAACCAAGGGGTGGCATGAGACTGTCGATAGATTATCAAGAGACTAACAATCGTGACAAGTGCAGGCGTTTCAATAACTGTCAGCCGGTTGCTGGGACCGTTTACCCAGTCGATGTTAACGAAGGTCCTTTTCCCAGGTGGATCGCACCAGGAGGGGGCCACTCAAGACTCGAACTCCGCACAGACGTCTAGGTTAGATAGAGCAAGGTTACAAAACTGAAAGCCCGCCGACAGGTCGTCCGTAGCAACTACCGCAGCACGTCCAGGCCCTCGGCTTGACTTCGAGCAGCCCGTCTATAGCTCCAAACCGCGCGCACCCAAAGCCTTCAGCAAGGTGCCCAAAGCGCCCTGGCACTCCGCCGAGGCCCGATTCTCTGCAGGGCGCTTATCTTGCAGGGACAGTAGTGCCTCCTGCCCGGCTGATGGTCAGGGGGAGCACATTAGTGGTCAGTGCCAAGCGAGAGGCTCCAGCTCCATTCACTCTTAATTGCCAAAGCCCCGGTCTCTGGGGCCTGTGGCCGCGCGGAGCAGCCAGGCTGCCAGCTGATGCAGTTCAGCGGGTTCAGACGCTAATTAGCAGTCTCCCGGCGTGCGCGCACACAGCCAGCTTCCCCCAGCCTCGCAGGGCTGTGTGGCTGAGAACATTACACAGCCTGCAATGTCAGGAACAGCCACTGCCAAGAAACAGAGAAGGCGGAGGAAGATGGATTGGGCCCTTCCAGAACTAGGCCACAGGTCCATGAACAGAGAAATAAAAAAAGTAATAAAAGTAGTAAAGTAGTAGTTGTGACACTTCAGAATAAGGGAAGTGAAAATACGGTTTCAACAGAAGCTTGCACCTCTGACACTTCGAAGCAGGATGTGAAGCTGTGGATATGTCATCAAGCAGAATATATTTAAAGTGGTACAACTATTTATTCTGATGTTGTACGTAAAAAATGTTCATCGGTGTGACCGTGGATTGAAAAAGGAGCAACAGGTGGCAACGTACAGTAGCGAGCGGCTCTCTAAAGCAAGAGGTGGGCGGATGGATATTCCATGCCTTGAAAATATGGCACATCGGACACATTGATTCACAGAAAATAAACCAGGGTGTAGAAAATCATTGTACTTCGAAGTACAAACGAGTTTGTCCATTTGTTGGCAGGAAATGTCACCTAAAGTAAACCAACTAATGCATCCTATAACTTTACTCCAAAGCCGTCAGACAACAAATTTCCTTATTAGGACAGAGAGGGATAGCACAGGGGTCAGCATTGCTCTCTTGCAGTGCTGGTCAGTTGTGGCCCCGGGGGAGCTATCTGTGTGGAGTGTATATGTTCTCCTACGGTTTGCATGGATTTCCTCCAGGTGCTCCAGTTTTTTCCCCCCCGCACAGTCATGTGGTACTTGTAGGTAGGTACCCAACACATACTGGTGCCTGTAGGTTAATTGGCTTCTGGGAAAAGGGGCACTGGTGCGAATGTGCGTGTCTGTATGTGCCCTGTGCTGGCCTGCCTTGCACCTGTTGCTTTAATGGTTAGGCTCCTACTTTCCTGTGACCCTGTATTGGATGAGGTGGTCAGAAAATGAAAGTACTTATGGAGTAGAGAGCGAGTATGCTGACTTAACACTGCTGGATTACTATAAGAAGAGCAATTACAGACATAAAAATTGCCTGGACTCAAACAAATGTTACCATTCCTACTGAAAGCGAACCAGCAATCAACAATCCCATCGCTCTGCTACCGTGTGTCATGTTGCATCTTGAGATTCCCGCTGATGGAAGGGGAAACTAGTCGAAACCCCCGATTCCAAAGCAAGCTTTGGCACATTGTTTAAAAGCGAAGTGTTCTATCCCTGTCACTGTTAATGGAATTGATATTGAAACAGTAAATGAATATTAATACCTTGGCACTATTGCAGATTGTAAATTGACTTGGACTGCCAATATGGAGGCAAGGTATTTGAAGGTGCAACAAAGGCTGTATTTTTTGTTTTAAGGACATTAAGGAGTTTTAATGTAGAGAGCACAACACTGACACTTATTAATAGGTTTTATTCAGAGCATTCTGATATTTTATATCCAGAGCTGGGGAGGTGCTTTGTTCTTACAGAAAAAAAATACAAGCTGAACAGAGGACAGGTGGCGAGACTACCCATAAATAACATGTCAACCAGAGTGACATTATTCTCACCCATTAAAATCTTAGAACACTCCTCTCATCAACTCTTTTTAGAACACATGCTCCTACCCTCTGGGAGGAAAAACCAGAACCCTGTATAAAGACAAAGAAAACACCTACTTCAGTTACACCTGAAAACATTCAATTCAGTTGAACAGTGAAAAAAATATTGCTGGTAGGGATGTTACTTTGACTATTGTTGTCTAACCTTTAATTAGCTTGTTTTTTATTCTTTGGTACTGGCAGAGTTCTGATTGAGCAATGTTGTCGAATGTTCTTTTGCATTATGGTATTGTACTGTTGCTGGACTGTATTATTTTCACACATTATACGTTTATGAGCTCTTGATGTGCAAGACAAGTAAAGGTTAATTAATTCATTCATTGTTAACTTTGATAGAAACTCTGAAGATCGTGTGTGGCTGTAAACCTTTAATAACATAACATTTTGATTTCAAACATGCTCTCAAAAGATGCTCCTCTGTTATAAAAGAAAATTTTACCCTACAATGACTGTACAGATTTCTCTCACCATAATATAAAATGATTTCTATGATTTTGTTTCTGTTCCCATTTTTAGGGATTTAAAGTGGGCTGGTGCAGAGGTAAAAATCATTTATCTGGAAAAGCAGTTTTTACTTGCAGAAAAGGGTCGCATGTCCTCATTTTATAGGAAGTATTACTGCAGAAATCTTAGGTAAATGGCGGCCTCCGCTGTTTGTTTTAGAAACTACAGTCTTACAGTGTTACTAAACTCCAAAATATGAATGCTATTTTTTTTTTTACGTGGACTTTATCTCACGTTCCTTTTCAAGTACAGTAAAAATATAGCACAAAATCAGAGCACTGCAAACTATGAGTATCTCAGAAGCAGAGGAAAATCTCACTGAACTGAACTGGGACTTGATATCGTTCCTTCTTTAGGAGGGCTGGTCCACTAATCCAGGAAAGCTTGGAAGAGTTTTTCTTTTAAATATAACCTTTCAGATGAGAGAGTTAACTGAAATAACGGTCACACTAAACAGCTCAACATTTTTTGCAAGTACAGTATTCATAAGCAGACAAAACACAAATTTATCTGTGTAAATTATATTTCTCATACCAAACACATCTACCTTCTTATCCAGTATCTTGAGGGATACTTTTAGGTTTTGTGATGAAAATAAGGTTATTTGGTCATTCTAATTCACTCACATACAATACTCTGCAGATCCTGACTTATAATATACATATATATTTATCTATCTGTGCCCATCACCAACATCAGTGTCCAGTTATCCAAATTAGAGGCAGATACTGCAAGAGGATAACTTGTATCCCCTGAGGACTGAAATGTGATGCCAGGTTGTACTGCTTAAAACAGTGAACGCAGAATGTATCACATTGTCTGAAAAGCTCAAGAAGGAAAAGGCAACAATTTATAAAGTTGTATTTCACTTTATGCTAATGAATAGGTTGTCCTACTTCACAATGTGCAGTTTCACCCCATCAATCAAAGGGTGCTGTACACTGGGGAAATTGTGCTAGAGGTCTGAAATTGATTGAAATGGTTCCCCCAAGTGTATGGTTGTGATGGAGTGGCTGTCAGCAAATTTTATAAGAGAACAAATTATTTTGGCACAACTGCTTCATCAATTCATGTTGAAGATTTCAAAAATGTTAATTAACAATCACTTAATTTGTGGTTAATATTCAACTTAATATAGAAACTCCCACTATTGACTTATATCATTGATTTTTAACGTTGCTGTAAGGAGACCAAAGTTCTAGTGTGTTTTTTCCTCTAAAGTGGGTTATTTGCAAAAGCACAGTTATTTGTAAACAAAAACAGCAAATCAAACTTTAAACACAAAATTGCTCACTTGTAGAAACATGCCACATCTTCCACTCTCAAATGATTGCACAAATTCTCTATACAGAGGATAACCTTTTGTCTTGTGAACAAAAAAACATTTTTTTCCCCAAAGAAACCTTCAGTGACTGAGCAGGAAATACAAATAAACTCATTTAAAACTGGCAGCTGGCAAACTCATCCACTTTCAAAATACATACTGTAAAGCACCTCCACAGAAAACAAAAACAACCTTTCAGATTAACAAGAACAACCACCAATACAGCATTATATGTATGATGTTGTTTTGTATGCTCGAGTCAACTCAAGTCTCCAGCTGTTTTGCTGGGCAGATCACATGACCTCTCCCTTAAGATTCAATATTCCTTTTCAGTTTGGAAATTACAGCCTTCTCCTAATTCTGCCCCTGTTGTAAGGGCCTATCTGGAATAGCCAGGAAAGGAATAAGAAATATATATACTGTATAAAACTACACTATTTGCCTTGTGCAGAGCTAAGAATATAAAAATTGTTTCCTTGTAACACCACTGATCTTACTTGTTAAAGTGCCACGGTCAGGGGCTGAAGGCTGGCAAATAGCAGTTGAACAGCGAGCTGCAGGGGTGAGGCAGGCAGGCAAAAGCACAATCCAAAGTCAAAATCCAAAACCAAGAAAGGGTCAAAGCCAGGTCAGCTAGAGAATTCATTACCAAAGAAGGAAAACTCAGAAGTCAAGAAAAACATAGTCAGGACACAGAGAGCAGGCCAAGACTAGTAACAAAGCACTAAGACTGAGGAGCAGAGTATGCAAAGCCAGGTCTTAATTAGCCAGGTGCACAGGCACACACAGGTGAGACCAATTTTCAATCAGAAGAGGTTGTCGTGGCAACCAGTGGACTGACAGGACTCTCTTTGTTAGTGATTCTGTTGTGATTTATAGTTCTACAGCCAGGGCAGGTACAATATGGCAGTTCCATTTTGTGAAATTAAAAACAAAATGATAGATGAGGAGGGGGACTCCTTAGGGTAAGATGAGTTACAGTACAAGTCAGCAAAAACTTAAGAGAAAACATAAACTCAAACATTTGAAGCCAAGATTATCCTGAAATTTGCATAACCTTCCCTGTTCTCTCAACGACAGACTAATTTCTTCATCGGAAATTCTTCACAGATGAAATCCCCTCCATTGCTTTATATGTGTTAGCTTTTTACTCGTCTTGATCCCTCTTGGTGTGCACACTCTTCCTCACCTGTGTGCCCATTCTCGCCTGTACTTTATATTCCAGTTACCTTCCTTCCTCTTCCTCAACCCTAAGACGGCTCAACAGCAAAATGCCCTCTTGTTGTTATTGGAGGATCCAGCTGTCTCCTCTCCTTGTGCACTTTTTAACTGCTTTGAGAAGCCACATTTCAAGGTGCTAGATAAATAACGTTTCTAATTATTGCGTGAAGCACCAGTACAAATATATCTTCCACCTTCGGAGTAGGATCCAACCCGAGCATACATGTAGCAAGTAAGGCTGTTTAAACAGTGCCTCTCTCACAGGGGCACATGTGTAAAGTAGATCAGGAATAGGCCATTGCGCACATAGTGTTTTATGGGAAGTTAATGAATATATGGGGAAGTTAAAAAAATTGCCCTTTCTAAATTGAAGACGGACCATCTCATACATTAACTTTCTATGGTGTAATATGTGCCTTCTAGTCTTCCTGTTAACATTCTGACAGCCATACCCGTTTATAAAAAGGCGAAAAAGAATATACTCAGTAATTACATACCAATCTATATCATGTAATCAATAAAAACAAATTATAATATAACCAATGTAGTGGTCAACAGTTTTAGTACTCTAATTTATAACGGTATGGATTGTGGTATAATTAGGAAAGCTATTTAGATATTCAGGTGTCACAGAACTAGGAGGTGTCATAAATAAGCAAGTGAAATTCTCAACCTGAAGATATTGTACTTGTCATATTTATTACAATTTGCAAAGCAAATACAACTGAGTAATGTAAAAAAGATACAAATTTCACAATATTTCACATTAAATGGTTAATTACTTCATATAGATTCAGGTGGTGATCCAATATGATTGCATATTCATATAAACAACTGTGCAAAAACAACTGTGACATATAAGCCAGGAAAAGAACAATTTTGCGAAAGCTACGCTCCACAGGTGATAAAAACAACCACAACTTGTTTCACACAATTTACAATTTTTACAAAGATTTCAACACAAGCTATAAAAGGGACTGCTTGCAGATACATCCGTTTATATTGGATACAAATTGCTGCATTTCATATACTGAATTATTGTAAAAACCAGATACAAAATTCTGTTAACACTTTGGCACTGGAGTGCTTTGCATGTAAATGTTTTATTTCCAAAACAATACATTAATTTGGTGTAAGCTTGATGTAAACTTCCAGGGAGCACTGACAGAAATGGGAACGGAGTGGTAGTTTAGGTAAAAGTCCAAATTCTTTGCATCATAGAAACAATATTTTTCCGACGTGTGTGCTCTGTGTCACTGCTGACACAGCTGCAGAAACTGCCCCAAAGCCTGTCCAGATCTTCTTTTATCAGCAAACGATCTGCACCTCATAGCCGCTTGTACACATAGAGAATCTGCTGGCAATTGGGGCACCTGTGTTCCACATCCTTGCAACTATCCACACAGAACGGGATGAGGCAGCAGCCAAAAATACACCTGTAGAACAAGAGCAAGATGAAAAAATCTTGTCAGCCATCTCATCCGAATCAATTCCCCATGATACAATACTGTGTATCGGAAAAATTGTCCCCGGTTTGAGTGTGTGCCTGTCTGCACTTGTATCTGTACTTGTGTCTGTGTGTGCCCTGTGATGGACTGGTGTCCCATCCAGGGTGTACCCTGCCTTGCGCCCACTGCTTGCTGGGATAGACTCCAGCTCCCCTGCAATCCTGAATTAGAGGAAACAGTTAGAAAAGGGATGGATGGGGATATGGTGTTGGACTCTGCTATAAAACAAAACAAATTTTCCTCCAGGGATAATAAAAGCTTGAAATGAACTGAAAATCAAAGGCAGTAGTGCAAGCATGTGGATGCAAAATAAACCAGGGTTACTCTCGTACAGAATGAGGAGGACGCCCGTCCTAGGTCAAAGCCAACTAAAACCAACAGTGATCGCTCAATTCTTTGTCACTGCTTCGGGACTCAAAGTCTTAGGGGTCAATGCAACAGCCCCCAGTCAAACTGATAGTCTGGGCTGTAGGACTCACTCTGCACTGAAAATGAGCACATTTACCAGGACAGCTGTTTCGGAAACCTGCAGTCACCCCACATTTCCTGCAAATAAAAGTGGCTCACACTGATGTTTTCCTTTTAAAGTTGTATTTAACTTGTTGTTGCTGCTGCTGCTGCTGCTGTCCCGCGATTATGTTTTTGGCAAGTCCTTTAATGTCCTTGTATTGGAGCATACATGCAAATAAGCATTTCATTGCACTTGGGCATGTGACAAACAGGAAGAAAAAACACTCTTGAAATCACCATGCCCATTCCAAAGGTCCTTTGGAAATAAACTGCTGCCTAAAGGAAATACAATAGTCGGGACAATGGGATGGAATATACATTATATTTAGAAGGGAACAGGTTTATCCCATTTGTTTGGAGGCAGAGTTAGTCATTTATATACTTATCCATGTTTGGCTCCATTAATATCCTCTGTACAGTCACGAGCAGGAAATTTTAATAAGTCTAGTGCACATATTAAATGGACGTTGACAAACCACTGAATGAGCTGAATGAAACAAAAAGACAGGTGGTAGGCACGACTCTATTAAATATACCAGTATGATGAAATGTTTCCCCAAGTGTTTTCTTCTGCGTGACTTTTAGAACACAAGGAGGAGTGTTTTTAATGCCCAATCTGCCGTTCGATTTCATGCCTGTTCTTTAACAATAGAAATTAAGAAAAGCAAATACAATTGCTCCTTCTGCTTTATAAGGAGGTAAGAATGGTTACAAACGAGGAGGCCATTTGACCCCCCATCTCACTTAGTAGCTGACTGATCCGAGGATCTCATCCAGAACAAAGCCAGGGTATTCGCCTCAACACCACAATTCGCTTGCTAGTTCCATACTCCCAATACTCTGTGGATGAAGTACCTTCGGTTCTCAGTTTTCAGCACACCTCCATGTAGTTTCCTCTTGTATCCTCAATGGAGAATAATGGATTCTCCTAGGTTGACTTTGTGAATGCCCTTGGGATTTCAAATTGTCTATTGGGTCCCCTTATAATCGTAACTGCACGAGATACATCTCCTCCTCATACACCGATACCTGCTGTAATTCGGTTGTAGTGTCACATCATCGAGGTGGGGGCTACACATTGGGGGTGGTGGAAGGGAGTCCCCAATACCTGTCAAGTGCTTTGAGTGGAGTGTCCAGAAAAGTTCTATGTTAATGAAAAGATTATTATTTATAAATCTTTAAGAAAGAGAATGTAACTGGTCACTCTTCTCTGGATGGTTTCCAGAGAAAGTCTGAAAATGACTGAAAAATGTATCTCAGTATGTGGATTCTCACCCAAAGAGAGTCAGTGTGCCACAGATGAGCCAGGTGAGCAGGCCAGACTTGTGTTCGGTGCTGGTGATGATCTGGTGCTGGCAGCTTGGGCACAGTGTCTGCCCAGGCACGTCTGACAGCACAGGACTCACTACCACCTGGGTTACTGGCGAAATACAGCAGAGAAGGCAAAGTTCAACAAAGAGTGCACGTTATTAATCTAGCGTACCACCTGAGCTTTTCACCACGTCACTGTATTCACAGAACTTGTTTTTTAAGTCAAAAGACAAGCATATCATCACAATTTCAATTTCAATAACCATGTATCCATTTGTCCAGATCCTATCCCACCTAGCACAGAGCACAAGGTGGAACACACCCTGGACAGGACACCAGTCCATCACAATGCACACACAGACAAAAACACACACACTCACACCAGGGCCAGGTTTCATAGAAGGCAGGTAACCTAACAATGTCTTAAGACTGTGGGATAAATCTGGACCACCCGTCAGGAAATCCACATGAACAGGGGAACATGCAAACTCCACGCAGAGCATCTCAGGAATTGAACCCAAGGCCTCAGTGGGGAGCATTTCTAATCACTACGTTACTGTGCCGCACAATGACAAACACAGTAAGGGCTTAAATTACAGCCTTAATTTTCCCCCATTCAGTTGGTTTTTAAAACCGTTTTAATTATTGTGACAGCAGGAGTCCTGCTTTTCAAAACGGACTGATGCAAGCTTCAAGTGGCAGAAAATATTTTTTTAAAATGGCCCAGTGTGAGCCGTTAACCATCACCACACTCTGCTTGAGTTTGTGTTCTATATAATATTCACCCTGCTCTTAATTTGGTATCTTTACTGATCGTGGACCAGTTTTCCCAGCAGGTAAGAATTCAAAAGAGCGGTCATATTGGAGTGAGATCTTCAAGAAAGGAGCTGAAGAACATTGTTGGGAATATTCTTTTTGTTTGTGATGCTCCGAGATAATACCAGTTGACACGTCGGCCGGTGAAAGCCACATCCAGCAGGGTGCAATTACAAACAACGAAGCACTAGAGGGCACTGCAGGTCGGTTGTAGCAGGAAGGTTTTTTTTAGCGACGGCCTGGGTTGAAAATTTTATTCAAATAATCGGCACAAATGAAGAAGGGGAGTGGATCTCTTTTTTTTAGACAAGCGTGATAGGAACGGGCACTGGGTACTTCATTTAAAGCAAAGGGGAGAAAAACAAGGTGCCTTGTACGTTAAAGAAGAAAACATAACCTTGCCTTTAGTTAGCACAGGATAAATGGTGTGGCTCCCCGCACTATTTAAATCTTAGGAGTAGGGTATTAAACTATTAACTTTTAAGCAGTAATGTTAACAAAAACAAAATCAGTTGTATTTTAATAAATTCTTAGCTCTGCATCTGCCAGGACTCCCAGGTGTTTAAAAGGAACAGGGAAGTGAAATGTAGCTTAAATTAATGGTTAGGGTCAAACAACACATCCCTTATACCACCCACCCCCTAAAGGGCATCACAGGCTGGGTGGAATCAAGGGAGAGATGAAAAGGCAGGCAGGGCTTACCGACTTGAGGAGGCACAGTAGGGGCAGGGCTACCATATTGAGGTGGTGGAGGATATGGCCCAGGATAAGGTCCTAGAACAACAAAGAGATTTGTCAAATATACACGGAAAACTGTTGATTTAATGAGCAGATTTGAATAAACTCTTTATTGCAGTGCACTGGTACTTCAGACCTGTATTGCTCCACTCCCTAATCCCTCTCTCTGCTGCCGAGAACGTGTTTTCCGTCTCGATTCCTCAGCATTTTCATTTACCTTGGGATCAGACCAAATCTTTCAGCAGTAATGTTGACAAAAATAAAATCACTCTTTAATTAAATGGTTCTGCCTTCGCCAAAGAAGCACTAAAAGGGGCCCTTAAGTGTCTCTTTTCATTAACGTATTTAGCTGATGTTTTTATCCAGAGCACTACATTGCAATCCTTTTTATGCAATTTAAACAGGAAGCTATTTTGGGGGGTTAGAAAGAATCAGCATTGATGGGTCCAATTAAACCACGATAAAAGTACAATGTTCATTGTAACTTGTAAAACCTTCAATCAACATGACAAAATAGACAAATTTTCCAGGTATGGGCAGTGCCATATTCTGCAATTCAGAATGAGGAAACAAAACTTCTGGTAACGTGTTGCGACACTGTTACATTGTAAACCGGCAGGTTTGCGAGGACACCTCTTTTCATCCAACCGAAATCGACTTTGGGGCAGTTTCGCCGATAAATGGAGCCTACCTGTTAACTTTGCACGCAGATCACGTTGGAAACTTTCTGCGGTGAAAGGTCTCCTGCACAATCTGTACTCATCCGCTCGTTCATCGCATTACATGAGTCATTACAGGGACTAGTGAGCGGGGAGGGCTGCTTCACGTCACAATTCACGTGAGCTCTCGCTCTCGCCAGGGGCTTGCGACAACTTGGCGACTTACAGGGCTTTTACAAAGTGCGTGATTTTGTGCTTAATTCAAAAACTTGTAACCTTTTTCCTATGCCATCGATGAATTGATTTTGTTACTGAGATTCGATCACCAGTCTGAGAAACTGGGACCGCAGTTCCCCTTTAACTGGAGCAACCCAGGCAAACTGCTTCATACAAGGGTACAACAGCAGTCTGCCATCCCTGTGAAAGAAATCAGAAATGGGACACCCTAATCCAAGGGAGACCTGGGAGGCAGCATGCATGTGAAGGCCATGAGATTGTAAGTGTGGATACTGGGACATGGCCACACAAGTGTAGAGCCCTAACCCCTGTTCCACACTGCCCTTACAAACTGTACTATTAAGAAGTTCACACTCCCGAGACCCCTAAATAAGACGACATGAGTGAAATGTTTTGCATCTTCTAACAGCGTAATGCTATGAAAAATACAACATGTTATAAAGGATAAAAGTCAACAGTTACAGTAATAGGGAATGCGGTTTAGAAGATTGAAATGCAAATGCAAATCTCCTAGGATTTGAAAAGTAAAAAAGTGCACTTGTGTGTACAGGATACTGTATACCGAATGTACCTGGCAGCCTTAGGATACCAAAAAAAAATACTAGTTTCAGCTAGCTGCTAAAAACCAAAATATGAACATTTTTTTTTGCACTTCATTTGTAATTTCTGTCCTGATGGACAGTGTGATCTGAACTTTTGTCAAAACATCATCTGCAGTTCACACTTGTACAACTACTGAGCAGAAAGGGATAAGAACATTCTTTTCTATTAAAACGTGCCTGCTGTGCATCAATCATGACCGTCAATTGCCTGCTCCAACGCTGAATTCAACGAGTGTTATTTCTGCTGGATTTCATTCCGTTTTTAGCATCCGAATGTCTGAATCTACCAATAGAACATGGCCAATACTCACCACTCTGATACGGAGTGCTCTGGTACCCTGCTTGAGGTGGACCCATGTCATAGCTGGGGCCAGGTGGACCAGGGTATGGGGGACTGGCCACGCCTACAGGTACACCTTGTCCCTTCTCCATTGGCTGAGGTTCCTTTGGGGAAGAAAAACCAAGGATTGTAAAGTCATTCAGGATCAGGATCAAATTTCTGGTCCACACAATTGTGTGACTGCAAAAACATTAGGTGACTCAAGTCCGTCTTCTTTTCATCCATTTCTTCCAATTCAGGGTTGCAGGGGAGCTGGAGCCTGTCCTGGCAAACAGTGGACACAAGGCGGGGTACACCAGTCCATCGCAGGGCACACACTCTCACCACACCAGGGCTAATTTTCTCAGAAGCCAATTAACCTACCAGCATATCTTTGGACTGTTTTGGAGGAGACCCACTCATACAGGGAGATAACTCCACACAGATAGTATCCCAGGTTCGAACCCAGGGTCCCAGCACTGTGAGGCAGCAATGCTAATCACTGCACCACAATGCATCTAGTAGTACAAGTCACTTGACTAAAAATCAATACCTGTAACAGAGCTGCAATTCATCAGGGCTACATTGTTGTCCAGGCACAGAATTGTATTGACATGACTGTGTACTGTACAAGGTACACTGAGAAACATGAATCTCTCTTTCGTACAATGGACAACCCATCCTTTCCATTTTCTAGTCAATGCGGGGAAGGCATAAAAAGGTCAATAGAATATTAGGCTATAGAGATAACTTTACATCAAGGGTTGTCATGTTAAAGTTATATGACGCACGAGTAAGGCCTCATTGGGAACGTTGTGCACGTTTTTGGTCACCACCTCACAGAAAAGCCCTTGCTGCTCTGAAAACCGTCCAGAGCAGAACAACCAGACGTATTTCCAGGGCTTAAAGGGATGCCCAGCATTGACAGACTGAAGGGATCAAACCTTTCTCGTCCTGAAAAGGGAAACTGCAAGGGGTCCTGATACAAGTCTTTCCTACCACTGAGAAAGTCAACCCAGTGGACTTCTTCAGATATACCCCAGACACGAGATGAAACTACATGGCAGCGGGTTCACACCCGAGGACAAGCAGATCTCCTCTACCCAGAGAGTTCGTGGTGGGTGGGCAACAACGTGTTGCAGCCATTACATTGGCTTTTTTCATGAAACAGTTGGATGGGCTCTCGCACCTTGGGGCGACACAGGGCCACCTGCGGCAAATTAGTGGACAGACACTTAAGAGACCCGCTATCGGCTATTCCAAATTGTACAGCTTTTAATGAGTTACAGCGATCATACATTTTAAAAGTCCCATTGTTTCTGGCAGGGTGTGTCCTGTTTGAGTGAGTGGGTAGACTCCCGATATAGTAATAGAAAACAATGAAATACAAGCACTGACTGCGCAGTAAATTACTGCAATTGCCTCGGTCAGCTACAGTACACGCAGAACACTTTTATTTATATCTATAGCTCTAATGAAAGCTTTCTTTTGTTAAAGAAGGGAAGCAACTCTTTATTGCATTTTTAATTTCCCCTTTCGAGACTCTTACGGAGTTTCTCTTAAATGCAAGGACCAAATCCCTTAACTTAAAGTTAAAAATAATATACGTTTTGTTGTCAGGAAGGGGGTAGTAACTTTCTGCTGGCGTAGAGACGGCTGAACGAAACAAGCAGAGGGAATACCGCAAAAATACAGAAAAGCAGTAACACCAACAGAATCCATTGTGCTGTTTCTTTTAATATAATATCAAGTGTTACTTCTCCAACACAGGACCGGTACAACATGTTCTGGCCACAGAACAAAGGTAAACATTTCACGAGTTTAACCTCAAAATCTGATAACTAGAAAACTAGGTAGTGCTTTAAGCATCAATTGTTGCTTCTTGACGGCAAATATTGTAAAAAAAAAAAACTCTTACTTTTCAAAATTAGATTCATTTTTAAACCGGCCTTCTGAAAATTGAGAAATGTATTAAAAAATAAGGCTACTGCTGTTGTTTTGTACTGGTGCTTGGTTTGATTATAATCTCCTTACTAGTTTTTGAGATCCATTCAGATTTTCAAACAAGAATGCCGTTTTTTTGAAAAAAAAATATTCAGCCTAATGGTGTTTTTGCCACTTTGCACCAGAAAAACAAGGAATTCACTTAATTTCATTTACAGTCCTCAAAACTAACATCCACCCTATCTGCTCTGCTGTAAACGAGGCAAAGCAATGAAGTCAGCACACTACACACTGTCCCCGAAAGATGTTTAAGACGTATCTTACCTTAAATTTCTCAGGAAATAAAAGCCGTGGCAGCGAATGTTAGTGAGCCTGGACAACAGCTAATCGCAAAAAAAAACTAAGGGTGGGGTTGGAGAGATAGGAGTGAGTACTAGTTTTGATGACTCAGGATAATCTGTCATGAGACTGCCTACTTCTACGTAATTTAATTTGCGTCCTTCAATAATCTTTCAGCGGCTCTTCGTTGGCTTGGGGCCAATGTCGAAGGTCATTCAACGCCATAGTTATAAATTAGATCAGAGCTGAATTTAGAACTCAAGTCGGGCTAAATCTAAATTTGGCATAGATCTCATAAGATCTATATTTCTAAAGTTCAGAAATATCTTACGTGAGTTTAGAAAACACTATATCAATGTGTTCGTTTCGTCCCCTGCGCTTAGAAGCAGGTTTATATGGTCATTGTTACCATTATTGTAAAACGTAGTATTCTGCACCTTCATTTTCGTGACTATTGTAGAGATATATAAAAAATACAGGGTAGAGCAGAACCAAAACAGTACATCAGTGAAGCAAATTTAAAGCAGCGAGTGCAAAGACTATATCAGTTTTAAATATGCTAGTACAAAGAGCATACAGTGGAACGGCCTTCAACAAAGGGCTCTTGTGATCTTATCCGTCTGTTAGAAATGTAAATGATTTATGTGGAAAGTGTATTAGAGTAGATGCACGCCCTTGATTACCAAACAAGGAAGGTACGAAATCAAATTAAAGAAGACAAAGTTATATGGTACGCACACCAGTAGAGAAAGCTGGTGAAATTCAGCGGGCATTCTCCAGTATGAGCAGGACGCCATACAGCACTGTCGGACTGTAGGGCGATGTACTGTATACATTTGAGCATAAGGTTAGGGGAACCATAAATCCTTTCAAACCCCCCACTAACTCCCAAAAAACCAATGCGTTTCACAAATTTCGATAATTGCATACATTGAGTGGACATGGAAAGTGAAAAACTGTGACGAGGAACTATGACTTTTGAGATCTACCTCCGAACCCACCCAGTTTGTAGATGGATTAGGCACTAGTTGTCGTGCTGAATGTTTTAAACACAGTTTCCTTCGTGTTTAATGAAACGTGCAGACACACTTAACGCGGTCGAGATCAATTAGAATGTTATCTTATGAAAGGGTTGCGGGTTCGAGTAGGGAGCTCATCGGCGTGCTGTGGCCCCCGACGAAGCTGAATTCACTTGAGGATGGGGCTGGAAAATTCCAGTTAAAATACACAAAACAATAAAACAGGGAACAGCTCGTCGCTCTGCGCTCATGGAACATGCGTGACCAGCTGCAGCCCTTTAATCCAGCCTCGACTAATGGATCACTCTGCAAACAAGAAATGCAAGGACACGTATTTACGTTCGTTTTGTCCACCTTCAACAAACACAAAGCGTCATACGGTATACACACTCGCACAGAGAGGGAATTTATATTTTTCATTTGACCATTGTTCATCTTTTAAACAGTTTAGCAATTTTTGCCTGAAGAAACACCAAATGGCTTTGTAATTGTTTCATAACTTCTTAACTGTAAACTTTGATATCCTGTGTCAGGACAGTACATCCTTCTCTATGATCAATCGCATTCCACAAGCCTGTTCCTCAATACCTACTTTACTACTTTTCGCAACATCCTTCTGTAACTATTCAGTACAAACAGACATTCCCATTAGGCTCCTCATTCGCAGCTGGTGAGCTATCGGAAGCACCGAGAGGAAAAGCACCTGTGCTCTTAAATCATGATTGAGTGTCGGTGTGACTGTTTTGCCTGTTGGCTTGTTTATACGGGAAGAGGCAAACGAAGAGAAAAGGGAAGCTAAACTCCATAAATGCCATCATAATAAAACTGAATATAAACAATGGACTCATGGTGTGAAATTAATTTGTAACTTAACATGCGAATTTAGTTGCTGATGAAATCTGCGCCACAGCGTTTTACGCCTACTCAAGTTAGCAAGTGGCGTTAGGAAACACCCCCCAAGACCCTGTTAAATTCAAGACGTACATTTTGTGCACCGCTTTGGTGAGCTGAATTGACACAACCGCACCGTTACTTTAAATGCTAGGTGCAGCCTGGATTTCAATGATAAAGCTCTATCATTGCACTAAGTGCAATTAGCGATGTATATGCAGTATATTGTACAAAAAACGCTGTCCTTCTGTGTTAACAAGTCTTAATAACGCACTGAAAAGACGATTTTGGTGGCACGCTTGCCTCCGCAGTATGCAAGTTATGTTACGTTACTGTATATCGTAGAAAAAATGGACTACCGCAGCGAACTTGATAAACCTGTTGGAGAAAATCTATAGGTCTGTATCCGCTTCTTAAAAACGTCAGTAATGCCCTCTATTAATATGTTAAAAAGAGCTAAAGAAAAAAGCCAGTCCCAGCTTGTTCTGCCTAAAATGCTTAACGTTACACATTTCGATTTTGTATTTTGGTTTACATCGATACTGACTGAATCCACCTTTCAAATCGGTAGACACAATCTGGCATTTAAGATCTTAAAATCGTAGCCTTAACCTGAGGCATTTTAAATAGCCCTCCATTTTTAGTGAAGACTTTTCAGACAAGGCTTTCTTGCATCAGCCCGATTCAAGAAGAGCAGGAAAACGGAAGGCGAGGATTATCCTCCTGGTCAAAACCAGTTCAGAGTGGACCTCTGAAAGCAATGTTGCGGAAGGGTGTCTCGCTACAGATACACAACTGCATGTGGCGAAGGGTGCTCAGTTTCAGTAGGTTAGTTGGGTCCGGTTGGCTGTTGTTAGTTGACAACGTATCATGCGTGACTGGGTGTCTTCTCCCCAATAAATGCATTTTAGAGCCCTATCTTATCATTAATTCTTAAAAATAATAAAAAAGATCATACACATCACGCGAAGGCTGTCCACAGACTCTTGTTTTGAATGACGTTTTATGACCTCTCTGTAATGGAAAATCAATAAATATGCACTTTCATCCTGTGTATTTTTATTACCAAAACGCTTTTTGAAAAAAAACCCACAACCTATGTTTCCTAATCGTTTGGTAACGCATAATTTGAGATTTCTTCCTTTATTCACAATAATACTGCGTTTATTATCAAGTTTAATTTTTATCCAGTGAAACAGGTTTTGAAAGGTTTCTGAGGGAAAGTGGTACAGAGGAGCAGAATCGTTGTTTTGCCAACAATATCATGTTTTGTAATCTCGTTCCTTGTGTTCTCAGCGTGTCGATGGGCATTATCAGAATTTTTGCTTTGATTTTGCAGCTGTTTACAGCAAAACAAATACAGCAGGATCAGAAACATTGACTGATCTAGAACGTGCCTAAAAATTTTCTGAATTAAATTACACAGAAGAACTAAGGAAACCGCAAATTACAGGCTTCAATACAAAAGCCACGTTATACCCATTGCATGTATTGTAAGACAGTATAGACACCACCAAGAGCATTTTGTTATTTCTTTGCACAAGAAAACTGGAATTATCGTACACTTTGAAAGGTACAATATAGTATGATATTAGTATATGTATACAGTATATATGATGCCACAACCTTGCTTTCATTGACAATTCTCTCATTGTCCTTGCATAGTTACACAGTCACACTACAACAGGCCTTCATTCAAACAGCTCCTTCCTCACAGTAGTCTAGTGCACAGGCACCTTCGGAAAAGAGAGGCTTTTACCTGACATTATCGTCTTCCACAGGTGTAAAATGCTATTTATGTTGTACTAAACATCTATCCATCCATTTTCTAACCTCTTAATCGAATTCAGGCTCACGGGGCAGCGGGGGTCTATCCTGGCAAGGAAGGGGCAGAAGGCAGACTACACCCTGGATGGGACTCCAGTCCATCGCAGTGCACATACAGACACAGACACAAACCCACTCACACCAGTGTCAGCTTCCCCGGAAGCCAATCAACCTACCAGTCCGTCTTTGGACTGTCGGAGGAAACAGTAAATTGGAATAACATGAGGAAACCCAGTCAAACAACACCCGCTAAGCCCTTTGCACACAAGTAACCCGAACAACCACGGTCAGTCTAACACTCGTCTGGCACAACTACTCTGACAGGTAGAGAGGACTGGTTCCGTAGAGTCCACAGGGATGCAGACTGTACTTCTGAATCATCCTTTTTTCGTGTATGAAATTGGACTCAGTACGTTTTCAGAAAACAGGTTTCCCAACCCCCCTCAATAATTATTTCACTATTTATGTACATTAATATGTTAGACAATACAGACATTGACAAAGCAATCGTGCATGTCTCATCTACTCCCCCTATGATTTTCAAAACGTCCCCATAAATCTCATAAAACAGGCACAGGGGAAACAAAGAAATAAACAACTTCTTTGTTGTAATAGATCTTAAAAGATTCCTACATGCAATTCCATTAATCCTCCCACAGGGATCAGAGGCTTTGATTTTATGCACATTTCGAGGACTAATTTACTGTACTGACTGCAAACAAAATGCAAGCAGCTGTACATTGGAGAAGCAAAACAGGACAAATGTTGTGAAGCCTTAACAAAGTAATTGAATCAAACCCCACAACACTGAACTTCAGGAGCAATAAAGCTGATGGCATCACTGCTCTAGAATTAGTGCTGTGGAAACAAATTAGGCACATAAAGCAGGGAAGGGCAGAAAAAAACAGCAACTCTGAAGCATCTTATCAGTCAATAAATGCAGAAACAGATAGCCCAATCAATATTCTTGGCGATGTCATTGGGAGCACTGAAACATGGCCAACAGAGAGTGGTGGTGCCACATACAACAATGCGGACAAAAGGCAGTCTGAACTGATAGAAAAATACATTACAATACATTTTATAGAGAACATCCTGGGTTGGGAGGGTTTCAGAGTTCACATGAGTCAGACTTACAAAAAGACATTCAGAGGACATGAAGTTAGATGTCAGCTATAGACTGTTCACTGCAGATATTGGTTATAATTAGGACCTGGGGTATTTCTTGTCTAATTTTCTAACCCGTGTTTCAGTCCTCTTGCAATTAGAGGATGTTATAGCCTCTTTTAAAGGCACTTACTATACAATTATCCCATTGTGATACCTTAATCATTTCAGCTAGATATTTAATTACTACTAGATGCATGTATAAACATGTATCCATCCATTCATTTTCTAACTGCTTCTTCCAATGCAGCATTGCAGAGGAGCTGGAGCCTATCTTGGCAAGCAACGGGCACAAGGCAGGGTACAATCTGGACAGGACGCCAGTCCATCACAAACACAAGCACTCACACTCATACCTTGCTGTCAGATGGTCAATATCCAGTATATTAATGAGATGCAGATTCAGTGTTTAGCTTCCTTGTGTTCGTTTTTGCTGTGGATTACAGAATAAATAAATACCCATTCAGCATTTTCAAATCCCATCTACAGTAGTTAAAACCCAATTTCTTATACTAGTTTTTAATTCTGTTTAATTGACTGTATTAATTTGTGTACACCTTTCTGGGTTTTTGCATACTGTAGTTATACAGAGCCCTAAGTGATGCCCCGTGAAAGGTTATTATTATTATCACCACAACATACATTCAAAACCAAAAACTGGACAGGTTTGACTTCACAACTTTACTGCTTTGACCAAGAGGGGGGCCTAGTTCAAGTTTGAATCTTAGACCAAGTCAACCCACCGCAGTTTTTCAGAATAAACACTGTAGCAAATGAATAGGAGGTGATTCCTTACACAAAAGGTTGTGGGAGGGTGGAACAAGCCACCCAATAATGTTGCTGAATCGGTTACTGGCATCTTTCGGGAAACATCTGGATGAGATCTTTGGCAAATGGCTGGGGGAGGCTGATAGGCCAAATGACCTCCTTTTGTCCAGAAGATTATTTTGTTCCTGTGATGGACTTTTAACTAATCTAATGAATTCTCAGTTAGTGCACGTAACAATTTAAAGGAGAAAGGATCAAGGTGTGGAAGAAGAGAACATTGATTCTTTTTCCAATAGGAAATCATTTTTAGTTTTTTAAAAAAAACTTCACCTTCACAGCTATGGCATCTAGCTGCCCTAAATCTTTGTACAAAGACACCTTTTATTCTGTATCCATGAAACTGTATCCCATAGTAAACACCCATGGTTACAGCAGTTTCTTCCTGTGTGTCTTTTCTAAGGGTGTATTTCTTGTTCCAAGATGGCTTTGAGTCCTTTGAACTTTCCATTGCCTTGTATATACTACAATCTCACAAAACCTTTCAAGGTTTTACTTGAAATGCTAAACAACAGGTGTCAGCCACAGATAGAAACCTCTTTATGAGATTGCAGGCATTAAAACATTTTCACCTAGATAAGACCATATTTTCAGTTTACAGTATTACTGTACTGGTTTTTGTCTGATACAGATTTTGGTTCATTAAAGCAGTAAGATTAGATATTAGTTGGTTATTTGTAACTGCTACTGCATGTTTACCTCAAGAATAAATGGAAAGACTTTTATCAGAGGTGGACTAATTATGATTGTTTTGTCTTACGGTTCAACTGTAGAAAATAATCCCTTGTTATCTGTACACCTTTTCAAATTGAGGATTTCTCTGCTGGATGCAATTAATTACATTTTGGTAGTGATCTCAAAGACGTGACAGAACTTTTGACAGAACACATTTTGGCAAGTGGAATTTAAAAAATTAAGAACTAGCACCAAAATGAGTGTAGAAATAGAAATTTGAGTAAGACCCGCTGAAGTGAAAACCATAAAAACAAAGAAAAGTAAAACTAACATTAGGCCAGGGAAAATGAACTTTTCTAGCAGATCTTTTGGGAAGTGACAGGCCATGTAATTTGCCTTCAGTTCCAAAGGAATAATCCTACCTTGTCTTTTATAACACTACTTTTATCACAGCCATATCGATATTTGTGAGAGTGATTAAATCCTTAAGACGAAAGCCGTTTACACGTAAAGTGAATAAATTTGCAAAAGCAGCTAAGCATTACTATTAATAATTTTTTATTTCAATATAACATCAAGTAACAATAGAGGAAGTATAAGTAGGCTTATAATAGTGAGAATATAGTTTAGCACTTACTCTCTCGCAAGAACACAAGTCTGTGGTCGGCTCTTTCAGTTGATGTGGGAAGCTGTCCGTACTCTGGGCTTATCGAGTGTGGAACCGTTTCCTATGAAAGGCTTTTTTTCAACTTCATAAACCCTCCTACAGCAAGTCCTTATATGGTAAATAATGAAGTATTGGTTTAAATGTGATAACATCTGAAGTGGGTTTCTTTTCCAATCCCTGTTCAGACTAACAGAACCAGACACACATGGTTGGAAAACTTTTTTTCTGTTCAAACATAGAAAAAAGCACAACTATCATTCAATTAGGTCCAAGCAAATGTGATGTCTGCTTAGGTTGGAATGTAACTCTGTGTTCATTTGGTTTAGGGCTTGAAGGAAACTTGACTTACAAAAATGTGTGTGGGAGGTTTTCACAACAGAAACTGTGGGAGCAGGCTGGTGATTAGATCGACCTACCAACTTTCAAATCTGGGCCTAATATTTACTCCTGTGACCACTAGGTGAGACAGACTAACTTCATATTTGAAAACTACATAACTCAGATCTATGAACACATACTGTATAAGCAGCTTTGAGGGATAGAATGACAGAATCAGGTTGTCACTGGAGCTCCTATTCGAATACATGATTGATGAGGACGTGGGACTGAAGGTTGGGAAGTAGAGATAGCTTAACAATATCTGCTATTCGAGATTTATTGTGTTAACCAGGACAATAGTCATCAGAACTATATGTTTCTATCACTGCTTGGGCTAGCAATACTGGAACCCAATTAATGATTCCTCATTACTTTAAATATATAAAGTCTCTTGTTAAATTAGATATTATTTTAATCGGTATATATTTATCACCACTTTGTACAGTCATTGGGGGATATTTACCATTATGTTTTAGTAAAGGTATATGGTTTCTTTGTTGTTTGTTAGTATGCAGCCCTTTCCGACCACAATTATTTCCTGTTCAGATGTGTGTGGCTAATTTCTGTAACCTCACAAGATGATGGAGCTCTTGCTGTTTTATCATTTCCTCTCTCTGTCTGAATTTCACATGACAGGACAGTTGTGAAATCAAATTGTGAACGGAAAATAACAGTCATGAAGACTCACACGCACGCGAATTCTTTCCCAACCTCTGAATTGTTCTTTCTGGCTTTGTGAATTACAACACCGGCAAAAGATTACCGGAAGCCGTCCATTATTGAAAAAAAAAAAACCCTACTCGTTCCTGCTTCGGATTACAGCAACCTACAGCCACTCCAGAAACCGATGGGGAATACGAGGGGATATGCCCTGGACCGGATACACAAACATGAGCATGCAGGGGCAATCTGGAGATTCCAATCAGCCAACAGGAGCCAAGGTGGAGGTTTACTGGGAGGTGGGAGGAGAGAGGTGGAAAAACCCATGAGAACACAGGAAGAGGACACCCATGTCTGGGATCAATGCCAGGATAAAATGGCAGGCCGCATTCCTCACCACTCTTCCACCATGCTGCACTCTTGAGGTTAATCTGTCATAGGCAGACGTGTGGAGGAAGAGGTTAGGGAACTGGTCTCATTGGGGGAAGGCTGTGGGCCGAACTCCTGGTGGCACTGCCGTTGTATCCTTGAGAAAGACACTCTACACAGACTGCTTCAGTAAAAATTCCCAGCTGGAAAAAAGGGATAAATGTGCAATAAGCTGGTCTGGATAAAACTGTCTTCAGATTAATATAGTCATTCATTTTTCGAGACGATTTTCCAGCCTGTCATGGGGGCGCAGTGCTTCGCTTTGCGGTCTCGCGGCGCTGGGATTAATTCCAGACCTGGGGTGCTGCCAGTGTGGAGTTTGGTTATGTTCTCCGACCCATTCGTGTGGGTTTCCCTCCAAAGACACACCGGGAGGTGAACTGGGCGTGAGCGTGTCAGTGTCGGGGCCCGCCCTGTGACGGACTGGCGTCCCATCCCAGCGTGTATCCCGCCCTGCGCCTCTTGCTTGTTGGCACAGGCTCCGACTCCCCCTCCGGCTCCAAAGCGTTTAGAAAATGGATGGATGAATGGACCTTCAACTTGATGAGCCTAATGTAAGAAGTGTCCTGGCGGCCTCTAGTGGTGGCTATTGTCATGGCAGCCCCCAGCTTCACTCAGGCAGGGTGATATATCCTAACTGGTACTGGATTTTACAGGAACAGAAACAATGTCACAAGGGGACTTTAACTCAGTGGTATTAGTGGGCATAGGTGCACCCAGGTAAACTTCATTGAACAAGACGTTCTCAAGTGTGCACAGTCTTGTTACAGAAGGATTTCATGAACCCTCAACTGTATGATTTATGCATTTTTGAATATAAAGAAATTAAATAATTAAAAACGATAATGGGAGTTATTTTTTTTTAAACGCTTGAGTTTCCAGCTAGTGGAAGTAGCCAGGATATCTGCACCCTTTAACTTAAACTAAATCCTGAGTTGCTGACTAGTCACTTGATTTAAAGAAATGCCTGTGTTTTTGCTTTTTAATTCAGACTGTTACTAGAGGTTCTGTGTCCGATTACTCAGGATGAAACGGTGCTTGGATCCGGGGTAATGTTGACCCAGTGACATTTTCTCTGATCTCAGCCTCTGGGCTCTGAAACTCTTTCAAACTGGCCACTGGAGATGATGTGGTGTCTCTAATCAGTTCCCCCTTTGCTGGGCTGCTCAAATTGGAGGAAATGTCTGATTTAGGGGCCTTGCTGTTCCTAATGACCAAATTCTCAAAGCCATATATACTGCATTAAGAGTTTTGGAGATGTTTGTATGCCTTTCTCTCGATCTGTGCATTTATACAGCTGTAACCCTGAGTTGTTTTGAAAACGCCTTGGTCCTCATGGTTGAGCATTTGCTAGGAATTCACTACATAACTGAGGAACGTTACAGAGACAGGTGTATTTCTTCTAAAAGTATATAAGCCATTATTATTGCCCACAGAGGCCACACAATTCATTGCATGCCTTTTAACAGTAACTTTGTGCACCTAAACTCATTTACGTTCGCCACCACAAAGGGAATGAATACCTTTCCATTTTTCTTTCTCCTTAATGATCCATTTTAGTCCTTTTTTATATTCGCTTCGAATGTGTGGAATAGCTTTGTGTATTAATACAGATGAATCGTTGCTTCAAAGCAACACAGTCGAAATACACTGTGCGGATGTACTTTTTGCCAGGCACTGGATATCCCAACAGCCAGCAGCGGCCAAATATTTGCATTCCTTTGTCAACGGCGAATGTGTTTGTATTTGAAGAGGAAAGAGCTGGCTGCATAAAGAAGACACGTGTTCCTGACTGCTTTACCAGCACAAACATTTCCCCGGAAAGACGGTGTCCTTCAGTCCCGCAGAGGACGTCAGTTACCATGGCACCGCCGGCAGTAACCGAGCATGAGCATGTGGGTGTCCGGTCGCCTCTGCGCGCTCTTGCCCTCTCCCTAACTACACCCCGTCATGAATGGGCGCTGGAGGGCCTAGCAACGCGTCCTTGGCAACAGAAACCCCTGGCAACGCCAGCCTAACAGAGGCGAAGAATCGCCTGCAAACAGACTGAAGCTGAAGTACCGGCGCGCACACCTGCGAGGCACATGCATGGGCGATACGCCTACATCCCTACACTGTGACTTGAGTTGGACGCGATACTGAGGTCCAAGCAGTCATGTCGGCCCAGGTTTTAGTGTCCAGACCCAAGTTCGACACCCGGCGGGTGGCTCAGGAGCCGCTGGCGCCCGGGACGCCGGAGGCTGCGGTGAACGAGGGGATGCTCACGTCCGCCGGGGAGGCCACGGCGGGCTACCGCTCAGCCAAGTACACCCCGGACGAGTGGCATCACAACAACCAGTCCGCCTTCCACCTGGCGGCCGCCGACCGGGACCGGTCGGAGAGGCTGCGGCAGGAAACCCGGCAGCTGTGCAGCCGGACGCAGGCCGCCACGCTGGCGGCGCAGGCCGAGGCCACCAGGCAGCTGGGCGAGCGGCTGCAGGACACCCACTTCTGGAGGTCCGAGCTGCAGCGCCAGGCGGAGGCCCTGGCCGCCGACACCGAGCTACTGCAGGCCCAGCGGCGGCGCCTGGAGCGGGCGCTGGACGCCGCCGACATCCCCTACGCCATCGCCACCGACAACCTGGCGTGCAGGGGCCGGCGGCTGGGCTCCGACCTGGTCAGGGACGCCGTGGAAGTCGAGCTGCTGCGGGTGAGACCTCGCCGTTCCCGAGCTCAGTCCCGCCCCCGGTCCGTCGCGCAGACCAGGCAATGGGGGGAGGCTGTGTCGCTCCCAAGGAAGAAATTCGGCCACGACAGCTTCTCTTCTGTAGGCGGTGCTTGCCGGGGTCGCAGAGGGAAAGATTTCCAGCGTTGTGTAACGCTGAAAAAGGCGCACGCTTGTGTTGGGCATCCTCCACCCAGCGTGTGTCCATGACAGAGCCCCGCCTGCTTGCCCTCCACAGCTGAGCGTGTCGTGACCGTGGCGGGTTGCAGACTGCAGATAATAATAATAATAATAATAATAATAATAATAATAATAATAATTGCTGACACTTATATCGGTTTTCTGGACACTCCACTCAAAGCGCTTTACAGGTAATGGGGACTCCCCTCCACCACCATCAATGTGCAGCCCCACCTGGGTGATCTCACGCAGAAGTTTGTTGAGGCGCTCAAACATCACACAGGGAGCCCCCATTTGCATAGAAGATTACACCGCTGCGCAAAAAGCAGATCAAATTCACGAAGTAAATATTTGACAGTGGGGAGGCAATATGAACCACAATATGTATGATCCTGAGTATTAGCCAACACAGCAACCGACAGGTGACACCTGTTCCTTCTCTTTGCAGTAAACGATTTGTCCACTTGGTGGCACTCCAGCACTACATACTAGGTACATACTCTCCATCCAGAGCCTATCCCGGCAAGCAACAGGGCAAAGGCAGGGTACACACTGGTTGGGAGGCCAGTCCATTGCAGGACACACAAACACGCACTCCCACCACACCAGGGCCAGTTTGCAACTCCTGTGGCCAGTTAACCTTGCAGTATGTCTTTGGACTGGGGGGAGGAAAACAGAGCGCCCAGAGGAAACCCAGATGAACACAGGGTGAACATACAGGTGTGGAATGGAACCCGGAGCGCCAGTGCTGTCAGGCAGCAATGCTAATAACTGTGCCACCGTGTTGTCTCTGCTATTATCTTAAAGCAGCAGTTATTCTCATCAAAAGGAAAAGGGGCAAAATAAAAGGATTAGCAAAATAAATAAACATGTAAATGTAGAAAATACAGACTACTGAAACCGAACATCATATAACACGATAGGCTAAGAGTCATATACAGTATAAGCTATCTGTGTATTGTTTTTGTTTATACAGATGATTATTTTCTATAGAATCACTCTCCTGGAAAATCCCCTTGATCCTATGTGTACATTCATGTTGTTCAGAGTTTGAATTAGTCACTCTAGTATTTTACTGGACATTAGAATTCAGGTTGTACTGCTAACTGCATGACAGATTTTGCGTACAATGCTGAACATCTTGTAACTTAAAATCTGACCTCAATGTCAGTGCACTTAACCTATTGGATTTTCTGATTGACCTACCTTGGCATTACAACACCAAAAACAAACCTTGAAAGCCTAGGACTTTAATGAACTTGGGTTTTCAAGATTAACAATGGCAAGTGGGCCCATATATTGTTTCCTGGGGCTCTTTATAGTCAAATACTAGTCATGTTGTGTTTATCTGTTGAACTGATGTAGGAGGTGGAGCTCATCCGGAACGTCCAGGAACTTTTGAAGAGAACATTAGACCAAGCCATCAATCAAATAAGGTGAGGAGACGCTTAGGGTCACTTTGATTTAACTTTCCATTCATAATCTGAAACCTTTTGAATAGAGAATCTGTAAAGTGTATATTTGCAGTGTGTGCGCCTGCTATTTATTGAAGGTAACCTTGATCATCCTCATCTGCAGACTAAAATGCAAGAAGAAGCCCAATGCTATTGTCTTTTCAGGGAAGCTTTTGAGCAACCTTTAGCAGCTCATGGAAATCCTATATAATATTGTTTGCCCTTCTGTGCTGTGTAGAATGATACTATGAGTTCAGATTATACTGCAAAACTACATTTCTCTAATTATTTTGACTGGGGTGTAATAATGATTTCTACTGAGGCAGCAGTGCTTAGGGTTCTGGACACAAAACTTAAAGATTGTGGGTTCGGATCTAAAGCACGGCACCGTCACTGTTTTGGGTCCTTGAGCAATATACTTAAACCGAACTGCTCCAGTCAAATACCCAGCTGTATAAATGGGTGCAGTTGTAAGATGCTTTTGATAAAAGTGTCAGCCGAATATGTTATTAATTTTAGTGTTTTGAAGACTGCGATGGCCTGGCGTCCTGTCCAGGGTGTATCCTGCCTTGTGCCGACTGCGTTAGGCTTTCCTGGTGCCCTGTACTGGAAACGTGGATTAGAAAGTGGATGGGTGGATATTTTGAAGAACTCCATATGATAATCATTTTCCCCATGTCATTAGACATGAGACGTAAATTGGATTAGGAACCTAGGTCTTACTTGTTCTAACATGAAAGTCTGTGTCAAGGTCAAACAGAGATGTCAAGCAAACCCTGGAGCTGGACTGGTCTGACAAGTATGAAGCCTACAACATGGACGACCAGTGTGGAAGATACAACAACCTGAGCGCAGACATTCAGTATCATTTCAACTCTGCCAAGCTCCAAGACAAGTAAGAAGTGATCCAAAGACAATATTTACACAGGCAGGATGTAACACGTTGGGGATGTTCGTTTGAAACCTGTTCCTCCCTGCCTTGTTTTTTGTCTGATATTGTAAGTTGTACATGTACAATTAGAAACAACAACAAAAAGCAGGTGGGTCCTATTCAAATGGTAATTTATGCTAAAGCAAAACATAAATACAGAGTGCTGTTTGAGGTTAAATATGAGTTCAAGGAGGGTGGGTACTCTGAGTTCAGCAGGTTACTGGATCATCCTTAAATCATCAGTTTCTAAACACTTTGCACAGTTTTGCTTTGACCTCTTGAGTTAAGAAGGTTGGAGATCATCTGAACTGAAAATATCATTTTCATTATATTATAAAATGCAGGACGCTATTGTAAAATACAGCCTTTAACACAAAGAGGAACTTATCCTCCAAACAGTGCAGAAGTGTGGGTAACAGTTCTGAATCACGCAAAAGGTCCAAGTTAACGTTTAACTTAAATGATTTGAAAGGAACTTAAGTAAATATGATGAGGTTATTACCCCTACAAAATGTTACTTTTTATATCACTGTGTCTGTTATACCTGTCCATTGGTCCCTCTCACTGTTGGAATGATTTGACGCAGAAGATGGTAAAGCCAATGAGATCTAATTCAAACACCCTGTGGACTTCTGTAGAATCATCAGTGAAGCTTGAACCAGATGACACAAGTGCGATCTATGTGATAGTGCATTTAAATCTGAATGCACTATCATTAATCTTTCATTAATTACCCACTAGCAGCTAAAGAGCTTAGATGGGCCAAGTGGCCTCATCTCCTTTGCAACAGTTCTTATGTTGCTAGTCAACTGTCAACTATTCATTTCGTCTTTGGTGAATGATTGAGAAGAGACCACCTACATTTGTTTCCATGTTTCTTCAGTACCTATTATAGGTCTTCTTCTAGGTTCTTTCTCATAGAGGTCTTATGGACCATTCAAACAACATGTTTTTGCTTTATTTAGAAGTATTTCATTTGCTCTGATGGAGCTAGACAGAACACTTGTATCTATTTCCTTGTCTCAATAATTGATAGATATATATTAAAAGATAAGATCTTGCTAGGCTTTTAAGATTCCAAAACGTGACGGCCTCCCTTCCTTAATTTTTTTTTTAATTTACCTTTTAAGGCTAAGTTGTGGCCTGTGATTATTGTTAACACGGCACCAAAGCCAACATCTTAAAAAATACACCTGAAGAAGGCTCCACGGCCGAAAGGTTGTGTTCTCTTTCTCCTTTTTTTCAGCATGGAATAAACCTATTACTTGTTCCTTTGCAGCCTACACATGTTGACGCAGAGACCCACCTGAACGATCTTAAAAAATGTTTTTTTTCTGACTTTCTAAGCAAATGAATCACAATCACACAAGCACTCGATTGTGTTCCTGGAAGGTCTGAAGTTGTCACGGAATGCCTTTAGCATCCTGTTCTTCGGGGAAAAGTATATCTTCTATTATATTATTTTATATAATAGAAGATATGCTCTGGTCACGAATACTGAAACAGCTTTCTGGTCGCCTGTAGCTTCAACGCACAGCCAGAGCCTATCTCACCTCCTGTAATAGGAGACAGAGACCACAGGACATCATGGAGCCCTGTGATCAGATTAACAATGCTGTCCATCAGCATCCTGATTCACAGCAGGTTCTGTTCTGGGCGAATCATATTAATCAAATAGATTGAGGAAAAAAACAGCGTATCCTTCATTGTGCTACACCACTCAGGTCATAATAAATGAAATGAGTTTGGTAGTGTTATTTAGTCTCCAGCAGAGTCTGTATTACAGTAAATAAATAGCACTTGGGATAGCTCACCTATTGTTGTGCAATTCTGGGTGCAACATGGCTTGGAAAGACATCCTTAAAGAAAGACAGACCTCCTCTGAACAAAGACGTTTAATTGAAATATCCAGTTTTAAGATATTTAACAATTAGAAAAGTGGGTGTTTTGGATGGAAAATGTATCTCAATTGCAGTGAACACAGTGAATTATGTGTAAATGTACATACTGTAATTTGGGGTGGCGGCACTGGGACTCTGCGTTCCCGGGGTGCTGTCTGTGTGGAGTTTGTATGTTCTCCTAGTCTTTGCATGGGTTTTCTCCAGGTGCTCCAGTTTCCTCCCACAGTCCAAAGACATGGTGGGAGGTTAATTGGATTCTGGGAAGAAGTGATCCTGATGTGAGTGTGTCTCTGTATGCCTGCGCTGTGATGGACTGGCGTCCCATCCAGGGTATATCCTGCCTTGTGCCCGTTGCTTGCTGGGATAGGCTCTGGCTCCCCTTTAAAGAGTAAAACAGTTAGGAAATGTATGGATGGATCGAAATGTTTAATTGTGTGAAATTACGTTTGTAAGCTGTGTAGCATAACAGTTTCAGGATCATATTTGTTTATATACTGTACATGACTATGTTTATTATTCTTTAAAAGTGTGCATTTAGTAGATACTTTATGAATACAATTCCCAACAATCACACCAAATAAAAAGCTGCACTCATGTATATAATATATTAGAAGGAAACTTTAAAACAATTAGAAAGCACCCTTATTCCTAGACATAAAACAGAAGGAGAAGTGAAGTGAAAACATTTAAGAAATATAACCAGTTGGCACATCTTTACAGAAAGGGCTGTGGGAATCTAAAATATGCTACTCAATCATAGCTGAAAAATTGGCTGCTTTCGAAAATAGTCTGGATGGCATTCTCGGATCAATTAATAATAATTAATTGAGCCAGATGTTCTGGAGTGAGCCCGCAGGATCTCTTTAATTTATTTAGTTGCTTTATGTTCTTTTTTATGTTCTGTGTGCTCAAATAAATATTGTACATTTTTTAGAAATTTTGCCTTATTTTAATACTGGTTCTCCAACAGCTGGAGCTGACAGGAGTTTCAGACCTGACCCGTTTCTCCCTCATGTTAAATTGTTAAATTGCAGACATTCCTCCTCGACTTTGTCCGACAGCCTTTTCTGCACCTTTGTGCTCCTATCTGAGAAAAAGAAGAAAACAAATTGACCCCATGACTTTCCAAAATGAATCCAGATAAGTGAATAACGTCAGTAAGAGAAAGTGCTTGAAAGAAAAAAGGAAGGTGGATACTATTTTCTCAGTCAGTTTCATGCATATATAATTAGTGTTGTAAGCGAACAACTCCAGCTTCTAAGCAGTGCATTTTCTGTTATTTTCTTTTCTCTGCATGCTTCTCACTCTAGTGTGTCGACACATGAAACGTGGACTAAATTCACCCAGGACAACCTCGTCCTGGCCGAGCGAGAGGAACAGGCCTCCGTCAGCCTCCGCGCCCTCATTGACCGGGTTCTTCAGGATACTGCGGAGGACCTGCGGGCTCAGTGCACCGCAGTGGACAGGGCCTTTTCCCAGCGCTGCGAGGAGATGAACGCAGCCAAGGTCAGGCTGGAGCAGCACTTGAATCAGGTACTGCCGCGTCCCGTGCCCAGAGGTGTAGGGCAAGCTACCGATGACATCCACCACCCCTAGTCGTGTAGACTATCCAGTGAACTACTGTGGAACCCACAGTAAAGGAAATGTATGTTTCCCTTGCAACGTGGAATGCAGTCATCTCCTACAGGGGAAGGGCATCACCACTGGCGCAGTATGGTGACCTATCCCTAAATTCGATGAAGGGGACTAAGCCACGTCATTAAAGTGGTGGTACACTGGCGCCACCTTCAGGGACACAGACCTTAGTTTTGACAGGCCTGTCCCCCGTTGCCTCAACAGGGGGCTTCTGTCATCGATTGTCAGGAATGTTGGCTGCCTCTGCTCTGACCTTGAAGCTCAAGACACTTGATTTTGTTGGAAAGTGGTTTCAGTTTTGAGAACATGCACCTCAACCATGAGAGTGCTGATTTTGGCTTTAGGGATCCCTCATCCCCGTTCTAAGGGAAGGGACACTGAGATAGCTCACAGCAACACCCTCATTGACCAACACAAGGTTGAGTCAGGAAACATTTGTTGGTCTTGTTCTCTGCCTTTCATAGATTGATGCATGGACATGGTCCTAGTCCTTCTGAAACTCTAGAGCTTATCCTCAATTAATTGGACAACTGGCTGCTTCTTAGCTAATTCCAGTCAGAGCTCCGCACTCACTTGGGAATGTTGTTGTAAGCCTAATAAGTAGGCTAGATCATTAGATGGAGAAAAATGTCCCACAGTGTTCTTGGGTCTGCAAGTTAATGTTGGTGGACATCAATGCATTTCTGTCAAGTGCACAGAATTGTAAGATGCAGGTCAAACTGGCACAGTCTCTGTCAAACTCTGCTAGTTGATATCTGTATTACATGTACTCTTACATGCCCAATGCCAATTCCAATGTAACTGATCCCTGGTGCCAAATAAAATGAGCACAAAACTGAGGCACCATGAAATGTAAGGATCTGAATAATCTGAGGAGGTAGTGAGTTACAGCAGGGATCAAGAAAAATAACCAGTTTGAGAGTTTACCTTATGTCAACTTGAAAACAAAGTCAAATCTTTTACCATTGTTTCTCAATCACTGAGCATCACATCTATTTAGATCTAGTGCAAGGATCTAGAGGGACTCTGAAGGAGATGGAGAGTTCAGGGATCTAGATTACACGTGCTAGATTACAAATAAAATCTACAGTATGTCTATTCCCCTTTAAAGGGAACGCTCCAGCAAGTCTAAGAATTTTAGGCTTATGAAATCCAAAAACTGTGCCTCAACTGATAAGTTAATAATGTGACACATTAACATCACTTTACATAATGAAGTATCATTCAGTATGATTGCTGAATCTTATTGCTAAATCTAATGATAATTTTTATCTTCCTATCAACTTTTAGCATCTCCTTTGTTTTATTCAGAATGCAATTATGAGCAATCACTTCAGGGTGCCTAGTTTGAAAAGTGTAAACATTAGCAGATAAATCACATAATGTAAAGTACCGCATAAAATATCTATGTATATTTTGGCCACCCACATTCTAGAATGTACTGTAACATTATATGTCGTTGTCTAGCCCATCAGTGAAGAACTTACTCCTTGACAGCAGGATGCACAATATAGCATAACACATCTGTAGAGAAGAAGGATGTTTTTCAGCAAATGTAGAACAGATAACCTGCTGAGATTTTTGAAAAACAAGAAAATGCTATTGGTTCTAATATTCAGTTGTTTCATTTTTAACATTACGCAATGAAGTTTATGATCAGGTGCCAAAAGATGAAATAGAAACGTTAAATTCAGTTCACAGTAACATAATGCCGAGCTCCCAAATGCTTAAAGACAAAAAAGTACAAATGTAATGGAAGATGTAACTTTCACAGTAGCCAAGGAGTCTTTCTTTGGTTTACTCATCCCAAATTATTTCAGGACAATCCAATTTCTAGTGTATGCTGTGTGCTCAGAATGTAATTGATACTGTAGATGAATTGACATAAATCAACTGCTTTGTTTTGCTGGAACCTCAGCATGTCACTTAAGATAATCTAGTGAAACTAAATTGAAAGACAATTCCAGTCTTAGTAATGAGCACTTCATCAGCTTGCTGATTACTGGATATTTCTAAATAATAAGGGGCAATTATGGGCATATTTCCATAATTTGGCATATTCTACAAATTTTACCCAAGGGATGTTTTTGTATAAAGAGATTTCATTAAGTTATCTTGTGAAGTTCTGAGAGGCGTGGTGTTACTATAGTTTTAATAATTGTGTGTGAATTTTTTCAATAAGGTCCTGAAATTAAATTCCTTAAATTCAGGCAGAGATGGGCGTGTAATTGAGAATCTTTTGGCTCTGAACCTTTAGTAGAATTTAATGTCACATTTTCATATTTAAAATGTGCTGTTAAATTAGACTTTTTTTTTTTTACTGTGTTCCACATTAATGCTGTCGCATGAATAAGAGAGCAATGAACTCTTGTTCATGAGTCTGAACTCATGAATTTTTGTTTCAGCTTTACAGTGACATTGACATTAGCCAGCAGCTATGTCACCCTTGAAACTCACTTCTGGCAACCCACTGAAGCTCAGCAGCTGCGAGCTTGGCCAGTACCTGGATGGGAGACTTCCTGGGAAAGCTAAGATTGCAGCTGGAAGAGGTGTTAGTGGGACCAGTTGGGGGTGCACACCCAGTGGTCCATGTGGATCCTAATATGCCAGTATTGTGAATATACTACAAAAAAGTCCTGACGCGATCATTAAAAATCCCAGGGTGTTTCGTGATAAGATTAGGGGTAAGAGTAATTTGCCCCTGGCCTTTACCAGTCATGGCCTCTTCATTACTCTCCTCCCTCCCACTAGCTGGTGTGTGGGGAGTGCACTGGCACAGTTTGGCTGCTGGTGGGGCTGCACACTGGTGGTGGGGGAGGGGGAGTCCCCACTTCCTGTAAAGGGCTTTGAGGGGAGTGTCCAGAAAAGCTGTATGTAAGTGTAAGGAATTATTGTTGCTTAGCATCAGACCCCAGAGTTTTAAAATGCTGCTATTAGTGTTTATATGCCCTAGTTTTGGGGATGTAGATGTAACATGTCTGCTTACTTTGTCCCTTTTGTGTCCGTCAGATTTTGGAGCAGATAGGTGGTCAGGAGAAGAACATAGTGACTCTGCAGCAGGCTATCAGAGATAAGGAGGCTCCAATGAAGGTGGCTCAGTCCCGGCTGTACCAGAGATCATTCAGGCCTAACATGGAGCTCTGCCGAGACTCATCACAGCTCAGGTCAGCTCTTTTCGTGGGGAAAAAACAATGAAGAAGGGTATTTCAGAAAAAGCAAACCCAGAAAAAAACTACACGTGTTAACTATATACTCTCTCACACCCATACACAACAGTCAGGTTAACAAGTAGTGATATACTGTAACAAAGAGTCTTTCGTTAATTGTTAATGATATAAAGATGCGAATTAAAATAGAGGAAGATTTACATAGATACTTGAATATCTAAAATGATGATAAATAGGTAATGTTTAGATTGTAAAGCATATAATAAAACTTATAAAACTTTCTTTTAAAATGTTTTTTTTTTGCTGTTGGAGCAATGTTTGTACTAAAAACGCAGCTGGATCCAGACTGACTACAACCAATATAGCTACATCCAGCCATCATGCAAATGAAGCCGCATCACAACTGCTGTTTTACTTTCCAGTGTTGGCTGCGCCGCACTGTATAGTCACTGGCTCATGTGGGGTTTTACTACGAAGCGCTTGGGATTCTTTGATTTAAAGTTGTTTGCCTTAGTTTCAGGACTTTTTAGGGCTTACATGTTTTGCACTGATTTCTTTGCCGTTTTCCCAACCAGGCTGGTTAGCGAGGTGGGGCAGATTACCGATTCCATCGAGGCCCTGAAGCAGAAGCTTGAGTTGTCACGGGAGTCCCTGAGGAACCTGGAGGACACCCGCATGGCACTGGAGAAGGAGATTGCCTGCAAGGCCAACAGTCTCTTCATTGACCGTGACAAATGCATGACCCACCGCACCAGATATCCCACTGTAATCAGACTGACTGGATACTGAGCTGCTCCCTCTTTCCAATAAAAGCAGAAAGAGCACGAGTGCTGATCCACCCAGAGGTTAAGAATAGTAATCTGTGCTTTCTGAATTCTGTTTTCCTGTGCAGCTGCGGTGAGCACGTGGCTCCACAGGCATGCTGAGCCTGGATTTCTGGAGTTTTTGTTTGGAAGGAATCCAGTCTTGTCAGTGTACGTTGTGAGGGAGTTTGGTGAAAAATACAGACAAAAAGGCTTACAAAGTTATTTGTCATTCTTTTCATCTTCATTTTTATTTTGGTATTATTAAACGTACCGCTTTATTGTGTGTGCAAAATTAGCATTAACATTTGAGAGACACAGTAACCCATGCTGTACACCTCCCTTCCCAGTTATTGGTGTGGAAAATAAAGGCTTTCTTCCTTGTGTTCCTTACTTTATATCATTTTGTAGCTTTTGTAGGTGTTTGGGGTGACTTTTGAATATTGACTCTAATAGTAGCACTGGACTTGTCAGTGCAGAATCCTTAAACTAACCCTAAGTTACAAGTAGAAAGGGAGGATTATAGCGCGTTATTGCACAGTAGTACAGAGACAGGAAGGCAGGAAATAGAAGGGGAGGGTGGAGAGAGAGAAAGAAACAGAGGTATGGTGAACAGAAAGAAAAAAAGCTAGCCCAGCCAAAACCCAAACTGAGGAGATAACAAGGGAGCAAAAAGGACAGCAAGGAAAAGGAATTAGCCCAAGAAATCATAAAAAGAGTGCTGCCACGAGGGATGGTATATGGTAACATATTTATTTGGGTTAAAAATAAGATGAAACACTCAGTCTATATAAATGCGGTGTGACTGTTGTCATAAAACACTGGACACTGAAAAGGATAACAGTAAAGACAATCGCTTGTGTCGCCCTTTGTCCTTAATTATAAAGGGCATTGTTCCACCCCCGCAAGCACAATCCTGACAGAGCCTGGCCCAAAACACAGCAAAGCACTAGTTCATTACCCGCCCTTTGAGCGCTGGAGATGAAGTGAAGAGTAATATAAAGATTATGCAGTTTGGATGAAATTCAATTCAATTAAATTATTACAAGCTCCAACATTTGGGACTCTCAATCCTCATTAATCAAGATGGTTCATGAGATACAAGGCCAAAACTTCATACAGTCCACCACCCGTGACTCAGCCTAATTTTTTTTCCCTGTGCAACATACCAGCTCAAGCCACAGAATCCCTAGCTCAGATTCCTCGCTGACATGTCAGTCCAATGTGTATTGCTTCCTTTCAAGAAGATAAATTAGCGCAACCAGCCTAATTGTTTCTTGCCCTTTTGCCACAAAAGGCATTAGAAGTGGATAATGAATCTCACTACAAACCAGCCCGGCATACTAAAATTGAAGCTTCCCAGTTTCCTTAGTCGGAGTCTCAGGGTTGAGCCTACTTCCAAGACAATTGCCCTAAACATAGGGCCACTGGATTTGCCATATATGATCAGAAATACTAGATAAGAGGAGGGGTGAGGACAATTGCATATTTCTAGGACTTCAGAGGGGAAGGTGCCACTCCTTGGTCCACCAACACCAGACAATCTTTAAAGAAACATGATTTTTCTTAGATGCTTCATGTCCAAGTAGTATGATGTATTTAGCTCTGTGCATTCATTGATCATAGCCTCTCAAAGATAGCTCCAGAGCTCCAGAGCCACACAGCAACATTTTCCATACAGAGGCTAATTCGGCTATGCCAAATGACCCAGTGGTGGGAGAATACAAGTTATCATGTCATTTTTCGTAACAGACTCAGTGCCAATGAGTTCTGTTACATCAAAAAGACCTGTTGTGCTTGTCTCTTCACATCTAAAAAGGTCAAACCTGAAGGTTCAAGGTGATATAGATGAAAAAAGTAAAAAACAAAACAACTTTACCTTCACAATAAAACCCCATGTCTTTCCTGGAAAAAGGGTTTTGTAGACAAAAACAAAATGTTTTATTTTTAGAAAAGAATGATAAACCCATGCTGGGAAATTGACCAGGTTATTACATTGGCAAGAGCCCTGTTTGACAACAGAGCTTCTGTGGAGTTAGTCACACATGACTTAGCTCAATGTGGGCCCATCTGCAATATAGGCACAGAAATAGTATCACCAATAGTATCTCTTCAGATCAGATCAAACTTAACATATGAAATGCCTCAGCACAATTTTCAGAAAAATCAACAATAACAATTCTGTCTGAAAATGAAAATTCCAACTGAAAAAAGTACAGACAGCTTTTTATAAAAATTAGGAGACTATTAGTTGCCCTTCCTGTTAATAACTCACGCTAGAACATTTTGTGTTCACTAAAAAGAAAAAAAGGCACTCAGAAGGTCTTTGTACATTTGTGGGTGATTCCATCTAAATTGGTACATTAAAAAGCTACATTAATTAATAAACTGATAAGCCACATACATTATAGACAGCTGACGAGTTTCTCTGGGATCCAGTATTTGTATTTTAATTCTTAATCAACTCCACACAGAATTTTCTCACCTTCCATTAGTGTTCAGGTGATACTTTGTTTGAGTTTAATTAGGTGGTTGTGGTTGCTGATCAGTTGTGTATTGTGGATGTAGGTCTGATGGAGGCTGAGGTTCTAGGTTTTGTTAGGCATTAATCTGCATAACACATGCATTGAAACAATTACAACACCCCCAGTGAAATTGTGTGTGGGTGAAATTGTGTGATGGTAGCACGCAGACAAACAGCCACTTGAAGACGTGAAGGGACACCGTGGAACAAGAACTCAGCAGATTCCTTTCGGAGAGGTGGGTGTTGTAAACAAGTAAAAGTGAGGTTTTTCGTACAGACAAAAAGGTTCAGTTTTAGTTGTTTTACTCCAGGTGAAAGTTAGAGGGACAATGATCTCATGGTTTTGGGCAGCAATTCTCAAGATCTGGAAAAAGCAGACCTTCTGCAGTTCTCTGCTTTTGGCTGAATCTAAATCTACTTCACAACTACATTGGGATACAAGAGGGCACAGCAAAGCACAGCACATCAGACAGGTAAAGAAGAACATTAAAACCGAGCTACAAATATGCATTTTATTACATTAACCTTGGGCCAGGACTCATTGTAAATCACTTTTACAAGACAGAAATATTCACAGCATATTCACAGCATGCTTGTAATTTTAAAAGAAGCTGGAATTTCTATGGCTGTTATTTTAAGAGCCCGAAGCTTTACAATGCAGAACCATCGGCACTGATAAGGCAGAGTAAGGGACACACCCTGAGGTCCTGCTAATTTACTAGAACTGCAAGATAGAAAAACACTTCATGCATAACTGGAATAGGCAGAATCCACTTTCACAACCATCCAGTTTGTGTTTACAGTGTACATTTGTTTTCCACTAAATATTAAAAATACGTTAGAGTGAAACAAAATATAAAAACAAAAACAGCATGAAAAAATATGACAATGTTCCAAAATTAATGTATATTAATGTCTCAGACTCCCCATCTCTTTTGAATCAGGGATCACCTAACTCACAGACATTACTGCCAGCAGAGGGCACTCACAGAGTATGGAAGATCCTCTCCCAATTCCTTCAAACAAAACAGAAACTGGCTTTTCAGAATTCCATATACTTTAATATACTTTACGTTTATCACATGATACTCTATATATATGGTCTCTATTTTCACAAGTCAAGGTACTGCTTGCTTTACGATTAGGAAACATTCACAAAGTTCTGCCCACAAACTAACAAAAGAACAGACGTTTCAATGTGTCAGTAATATTCAGCCAGTTATTATCACAGGACCAATTACTCAAGGCAAAGATCACAGCAGCCTGGAGCCTTTTCTGGAAGCACAGGGCTCAAGCTTGGACTACGCTTGGACAGGAGACCAGTCCAGTGCTGGTCTTGCACACACTGAACCCCCAAGGACAATGCAGATACACCAATTCACCTACCCAGCATGCCTTTAGAAAGCGGAAGGAAATATGAGCACATGGACAACATGCAAAGTCCACATGGAAGGCATTTCTCTCCAGAACCTGCTACCATGACACAAATGCTGTGAGGCTGCTGTGTAGACTACTACACCAGCGTGTTGACCTAAATTGGAAGAAAATAAATGTAAATGTACATGTTTGAACTGAAGCTGTAATGGCACGTTGAAAAACAAACACAACTTATTTATACAGTTCTTGATGATGATGTCTTTGTGTGTGCAGTAAACCATTGCACTGTTTTCTGCTCACGTGGTCTCAGAGTAATTATGCCACTCAAATGAAAAACATTAAGTGCTTGTCTTTTAATGCGCTGCGATTAATTAATAATAATTAAGAATAATTGCTGTGCTTGTATAGCACTTTTTATTACAAATCTCATGTTGGAGGAGAGCCACTGTATCTCACACGGAAGTACAGCACCCACCCAAGAGACATCTGATATGCATTCTGCACAGCAGCAGAAGTAGGGAAATGTATGCCACATTGTACAAGTCTGCAGTGGAATTTGGCCAGGATGCTGGAGTCAGTAGCCTGTAATGACCAAGTACTCAGGTCTTTGGTGTCATCTCTCATCTAAAGAATAGCATCTCCCAGAGCACTGTGTCCCTGCTCCCTTTGGAAGATTGCCACCTACTGGTTGATCAACACAAATTACAAAAGCAGCACAATTCCGAGTACTGAACGGGACTAGCCTTGCTTCTCTACTGAGAAATATATTTCACTATGTCTTCTGAGAAATAGAAGTAATAAAATATTGCACAATAGCTTGGAGAGAACATACCACTGTATTCATAACTCACTTAATAAATAGCAGTTTTAAAATGTTTTGCTTGAGTACAAAACTTCCTAACAACCACACATCATTCCATAGAAAGTTTCCTGCTGAAAGTCAGATTGGTGCACTAGTAACTTCCAAACACTAAAATATATCAATTCACAAATCTGTTCTATTGGAGAACTTTGCAACAAATAGTTCCTTTAGTTGATCATTAGCATGATCTATACAAAGCACGTATTACACTAGCTCAATGAAAAGGACAGAGTAGTTTTCCACATTGAGCAGCATGAAGTCAAAGCATCTCCAAAAAAGTTTTATAAGTGTGCCATCTCCGGTTGTCTGTGCTTTTTCCTCTGGCATTCCAGCTCAATATTTGGATACTCTCAACCTTCGAAGAAAGATGATGGCTCCAAGAGAATTTACATTCATTGGCATACTGCTGGCACACAATGCCATTGACCCAATATGCTCTATAGACAATTCAGCAGAACACCAGAATTACTCCTCAGAAAAGAAACAAAGTGTTCCAGAGCAGTGACACAGAATCTTGGCTGTCACATATGACCAAACAATGACCCCACTGATGATAAAACAGCTACTAGCAACAACACATCAACAGGCCTGACTGATTCTGTTGGCTCGACAACTGCTGTTTATCCAGTT